TTTCAGCTTTATTGAGGTATACTTAAAGAATAAAAATTGTATGTGTTTGAAGTATACAATGCAATGTTTTGATATATGTATTTATAGTGAAATGATTATCACAATAAAGATGACATACTCATCACCTTACATAGTTACAACTTTTTGTGGTGAGAACATTCAAGAGCAGGTCTTAGAAAATGTCAAGAATACGATTAGCCCTCCATATCCATGGGTTCGGCAACTGCGGAATCAACCAACAGTGGGTAAAAAATACTCAGAAAAACTCACCTCTGTAGTGAACATATACAGACTTTTTTCTTTTCATTATTCCCTAAACAATATACAATGTAAATAATATACAATGTAAACAATAATACAATGTAAATATACATAGCATTTACATTGTATTAAGTACTATAAGGAATCTAGAGATGATTTAAAGCCTATGTGAGGATGTCCACAAATTATATGAAACTATCATGCCATTCTATGTCAGGGACATGAACATTTATGGATCTTGGTATCCGCAGGATCCACCCCCATTGTTGATTTGAAAGACGGGACAATCACGGGGTCAATGAGGGTGTGTGTGACATTGGGAAGAACCACTTTCTTTTACCCTTAATTTTTCCTTCATCTTCCTTTCTTTTCTTCATCTTTTTCACCAGTTAAGTCTAGGAATGCTATGTAGCCTACATCAGCCACTCATGTATAGTATTGATATTTCCGAGTAGTTGAACTTCAGACCAGCGCTGGGTGGTTTTCTCTATATGTGAGAACCCACCCTGAGTTTTTATAAGGAGTGGATGTCTGTCAACAATCTGAATTAGTTTATATAAGAGGTTGGGCAATATTGTAAGCAGATATTTGTCTTTATTGCCCAGATGAAACTAACAAACCTCTTTACGGGATAGTGTCATGCCTTGAGTTTTATAGCACCTTCCTTTTAACAAACTCAGTGTTTCATTCTTTAGGCTTCTTATGTCTCTTTGCTTGTATATTTTTTATTATTATTTTTTTGAGCCTGGATCTTACTGTATTGCTCAGGTTGGAATGTGGTGGCACGATCACAGCCTTGACCTTCTGGGTCCAAGCAATCCTCCTACCTCAGCCTCTCAAGTAGCTGGGACTACAGGCATATGCCACCATGCCAGGCTAATTTTTGTATTATCTGTAGAGACAGTATCTTGCCGTATTGCCCAGGTTGGTCTCAAACTCCAAGCTCTGGTGATCCACCCATCTTGGCCTCCCAAAGTGCTGGGATTACAGGTATAAGCCACTATGCCCTGCCTGTATTAAGTTATGCTTATTCCTTTTAAAATTCAGGATTTGTTAAGCACTTAAAACAAATTTGTAAATTAAAACCTCATTGAGATACCATTTGCCACGTAGTTTGATGAGCATAACACATAGAGTGTCAACGTTGGCAAAGGGGGTGGGGAAAAAGATGCTCTTATAAATGTCTGGTATGAGTTAAATTGTGTAACTTCTATGGAGGATACTTTTGTAGTAGCTACCAAAATATGTTGTTTCTATCTACCTCTCTCTTTCTGACTCAACAATTCCATTTCCAGGGGTATGTGTTGTGGATATTCTTGAACATTGTGAAATGTATACAGGGAGTCTTCTCAGTAGAGCTGTTTGTTTCAAATGATTTGAAACAACCTCTTCATCAATGGGACAGGCTAAGTCAAGCATGACACGCCTATACAATGGATGTGGCCATTAAAAAGAACATGGCAGCTCATATGTATCAATATAAAAAGGTCTATAAGCTATACTATCGAATGAAAATAGCAAGGTGCTACCATTTCCATTAAACAGAGGATAAAAATATTAATATATTCATGGTTGCTTGTCTGTGTGTAATATTTCTGGATATATACATAAGAAGTTATATTGGTTACCTGTGGGGAGGTACTGAGTGGCTTGTGGGTAAGAACAGGAGGAGGCTTACGTTTCATCATAAACCTTTTTGTATCTTTTGCAGCATTCAAAAATTCCAATTTAAAGTTTAGTTTAGAAAAATGCCCCCATGTATGCAAGTGATTTCCAAGTTCCCTTCAATATTTTTAATGATTATGGAACACACTGAACTTCTTTTTTATTATTCTAGCTGTGAACTCTGTCTGCTGTGTACATGCACATATGTAATCATATTCGGTATTTAAATTTATACTCATTTATACGTCACTTGGGTGGTGAGTAAAAAGGAAAATACATTTTTATCAGCAAACTTGGTAAATTGATGAGGTTTCTGGTATAGTCAGAGATAGTTGCTTATTTCAATCTCTGGTAAGTTTTTAAAAACACCTATTCAAAACACACTTATGTATATATGTATTAGTCCATTTTCATGCTGCTGATAAAGACATACCCAAGACTGGGAAGAAAAAGAGGTTTAATTGGACTTACAGTTCTACATGGGTGGGCAGGCCTCAGAATCAAGGAGGCAAAAGGCACTTCTTACATGGCAGCAGCAAGAGAAAAGGTGAGGAAGAAGCAGCAGTGGCAACCACTGATACGCCCATCAGATCTTGTGAGACTTAATTCACTATCATGGAAATAGCACAGGAAAGAATGGCCTCCATGATTCAGTTACCTCCCCCTGGGTCCCTCCCATAACATGTGGGAATTCTGGGAGATACAATTTTCAAGTTGAGATTTGTGGGGGGACACAGCCAAACCCTATCAATATACAATTTAAAAACATGCCAAACTGTATATTGCTTAGGGATATGTGGCTATGTAGTAAAAGCGTAAGGAAATGCACAGACCTAATGGACATTAATTTAGTGGGGTCAAGGTGGGAAGAAATAGAATATGGAATTCAAAAGGGATAGGTACATAATTATTCATTGCATTTTTCTTTATGTCTTGCTTCATATTTCAAACATTGCATAATTAAAAAGTTAGTATGTGTTACTAATTTGTTTTCAGGCAATTATAGAGTTCTGTGAAATCATAAAAAGATACAGAAACAATATAAATGTCAATGATCTGTATTTTCTTTATTTTCTGTCACATCACACTGGTACCTAAAACAGAGCCTGACAGAGGGTAGACCCTAAAAAATATTTGCCAAGATGAATAAACAGGCATAAAAAACCCACAAGCTTCTGAAGTGGTGGCTGGTGGGTTGTGTGATGTACTGGTGTGCCATCTTGTATAATGGGACACAAAGAGAAGAAGGGGACATATCTGATGACGTCTGTAACCTTTCTGATGGGTCAGAAAAAGGAACCTGGGAATTTCTCAATAACCGGAAATAGAGGTGAAATATAGAGGTGACTGGGTCTCTAATAAAATTCAGATGCTACCTGTACTCCAGAATACATCCTTTGCAAAAGGCCTTTTCATGGCTCTCAGTAAGACTGGGATTTTGTCTTCACACGTCATACTCAGTGGCCCCCTTTGTGAATGCTATATATTTGGTTAAGATGGCTAATGTGGGTGTAACTCTAGATTCCCCTTAGCAATGCTGTTGCTGTCTTTTATGTATCTGTGCCCAGCCAAGAGCCAGGTTGTATGGGAGTGATTGGAATGACTGACATTTACTACTGCCCACTGGCAGTAGTAGAATAAATCACCTTTGTTTCTTAGGATAGCCATCAGCCATTCAGTTCCCATATTTGTTTAATATGTAGACATAGAATGAAAGGAGTGTGGGAAAATAATTTAACATTGTAATCCTACAATGGCTACAAAAGATGTACTAATACATGTTGACAATAAATGAATAATATACGATTGTTGTTAGTTACCCCTCAATATTTAGCTAGCTAGAGCACTGCTGTCCAATAAAATTATAACATGAGCCACATATTAACATTTTCTTGTAGCTACATTAAGAAATTAAAAGAAACAGGTGGAAATTAATTTGAATTAATCCAACCCAAAATATTTTCATTTCAATACATAACCAATGTTAAAAAATTGTGAATGAGATTTTATATTCTTTTCATCTGGATTAAGTCTTTGAAATTCTGTGCATATTTTATATCCTCAATAGGATGCTAAATTTTTGTTAGAAGTACTTGATCTGTATCTAGATTTTATAAAATTTACAGTTGAAAAAGTAGAGTCATATATCCAATATCCAAACCATTCCATCATATGTGATAGTGGCTACCCTATTGGACAGGGTAGAGTTAGAATTTATTCATAAATTTCTGTTACATTTTTTTAATGATTCTGACCATCTGTTTATCAGTATGATTTTTAAGAAATGTAATAAAGATTAGACATATTCTTGCACTTGAGAACTTATAAACTAATACAACAAATGTGTATCTTGCATTGTGTGAAGTTAGTTTTTTGAATGAGTGTTTCAGCTGTTTCGATGAGCTTAATTTTGAGGACTCATATTTGAGATCTGAGATTTAAGGCAATAAAATTTTGGGCCGAGTGTTGTAGCTCATGCCTGTAATCCCAGCACATTGGGAGGTTGAGGCAGGTAGGTCATTTGAGGCCAGGAGTTTGAGAACAGCCTGATCAGCATAGCAAAATCCCATGTCTACTAAACAATACAAAAATTAACCAGGTGTGGTGGTGCACGCCTGTAATCCCAGCTACTCAGGAGGGTGAGGTACGAGAATCACTTGAACCCGGGAGGCAGAGGCTGCAGTGAGCCAAGATCGCACCACTGCACTCCAGCCTGGGCAACAGAGCAAGACTCTCTCTCTCTCTCTCTCTCTCTCTCTCTCTCTCTCTCTCTCTCTCTCTCAAAAAAAAAGGGCAATAAAAATTTAGATAATTCTTTCACAAGTATTCTTAAGCTCAGGGTAAAAGATCTAAGAAGTAATATCTTCCAGTTTTTAGAGAAAAATATAATAACTTTAGAAAAAGAGGAAAGAGTCCATCCACAAATAATCAAATTGAACTTAAGGAAATATGGAAAATATAAATCCATGGTTTCAAAATCTCAAGCATTAGTTCATAAGTGATTGAGTAATTTAGTTGCTGAACATAAACCAGGAGGATTTGAAATTAGGCCAATTCGTTTTTTTTCCTTTGTACGTCAGATGGTGCTGTACCGACATTGTAACAAGGTTTGAGGGAGGCGCGCCTCATACATGGGCTTGAACACCCGATCATCATGCTTATGAACTACAAAGGGGTCCAGCCAACTAATTCTGAGTATAGATTTCATTCCAGATTTTTGACAGCTCCCATTTCACACAGGAGGAAATTGGTAGTGTGTACATATGGAGAGTCTGTTGCATCAAAGATTGAGTTAGCTAGAAGAGAGCTGTTGCAGGAAGGCCACCATTGTTTTTTCTCCCCGTCAGCATGGCTGCTGGGAAGTTCTAAGAGCTTTTCTGGGCAAGAAAAGGGGACAAGGATTGATAGCCTGCCAGTCTCACTCTGTGGATATCTTGTTAAGAGGAATCAAATCCTGACACTTCGGGTTTTTACAGGAAATGGAATTAGTTCTTCCTCTTAAACTCACAAACCACCAAGAATCCACTGGGGATGCTTGACAGTTACGAATAATTTACAGATGTCTATTATGAACTATTAAATTATTAAATAGTTATTAGTAGTTATCGATTGTTAAATTGTTAGATTATTAATAGTTATTCAATAATTCATAAGCAGTTTTATCTATTAAAGTGAGAAGTAGAGAAGGGATCAAGATTTAGTTTGAGTGCTCTTGGCTGAGACTGGTCCTCTGACCAGCTCATTTTGGGTGAGTGAGAGGATAATACTCTTTTCCCCTCTCCCCTGACAGCGCCCACTTCACTTTCTTGGCTGGGCATGCCTTCAACCTGATGTTACAGCACATCCTGTAAGAAGCTAGCCACGGGTAATCCATGAAAAATTCATGCCAGCATCCTTGCCAGGCTGTTTGGCCCCTTGCTAAATTTTAAAGACAGAATGGAAGAGACTAGTCAGTATTTCCATGTGTGTAGGTGTGATGTATGTATTTGTGTGCTTGTGTGTGTGTGTATATATGTGTGTGTGTGTGTGTGTGTGCACATGCAGTGGGGCAGTTTAACATTTCTATTTATTGCTCTTTTTTAAAAAAATGTGCCTGTTCCCTATTGCTCTGAAAAGAAGTTAAAAAACTACCTTTTCTAATAAGTACATCCTTTTCTAATAAGTACATGTGTGTTATGGAAAATGCAATCTAACCTCTCTTAAGCCTCCACCTCAGCATAATCACTGACATAGCATGTTTCCCTCCAGTGTTTAAAAACTTTATGAAAAATTCCACTGACTTGGCTTAAAAAAAGGTGCATTTTTGTATTTGTCAGAAAAACAAATTGGTCATGATTTAGGGACTCGTGTTTGTTGCTCTCGGGTTGAAGGTAATTTTGCAGTGGATTGCTGATTCCTCAGAGCATCTATACATACTTCACGTCTGGGGACTTATTAAACAACATTCACTAAAGCCTCATTTTCTTCATGTTATCCATTTGGAAAGCTTACCCTTCCTCCAATTTGAAATAGCATCTTTCTCGCACTGCTCCGACTTTGAGTTACTCCGTCAGCGCAGGCCCTCTGGTGTCTCGGCTGCTGCTCCGGCACTTCATTTGCAACATGGGATTTTTCTAGAGAGTTTAACAGTTTTGTTTCCCTTGCCTAGCTGCTGTGGTCACCCATCAATACTTGCTGCAAGTGGCACGGAGACTTTAGCCCTGCCATCTTCCTTGAGTCAGAGCCTTCCCTTTCCAGGGAGCAGAGGGTCTTTGTTCCAGGCTGCCACGTGGGGACTCTACTCTTCCAAAGAGGAGGAGAAAGAAGGCTGATATTATGCGTTTTGCCTTTCACTGCCTTTTGGGCAACAGTCTTGGAATGAAGACACTAAAAACAGATGTAAAAACTGAGGGTGACAGTGGGATCTCATTAGCTTAGTGGCTGTGACAATATATCCAGGAAAGAGGTTTGTGGACATGCAGCTGACTGTATCTGAGAAGCTGGAACTGCACATGTATGTGTGTGTGTGTGTGTGTGTGTGTGTGTGTGTGTGCACGCGCACGCACATGCCTGTGCCTCTGGAGGTGGGGCAGGCATTTCAGGCTTTGCCATATAATTTTCTTGCTTAAGCTTTAAAAAACTTGTCAGTTGGGTGGCAGCAGGCTTGGTTATTTTTCTTTATGGGCACTTCTGTAAATATCTTTAAATTTCAGATTAGGCTTTTTAGAGGGGCATTCAATGTGAAGAATAAAGAGATTATGGCTTTGCTTTCTTTTTTTAAAAAAAGTTACCGAGGCGTGAAATGCACCCAGTAAAGTGCCTCCAGTGCACTCTCTTAATTGAACAGCCAGATCAAGGTGAGACTATTTCCATGCAGTACAGGGTACAGTGCCTCACTTTGATCATTTTGAAAATACATGAGTTCCCAGTCTTAACATAGCTTTTCCTCACCCTCAGTCCAACTTTCAATTCTTGAATCTTCATAGGAGCTTCTGGGATCAAGTCCATCACTTGGTTATAATTTCCAATCAAGAAATGTGAGTCTAGAGCTGAGATGCCTCTGCCCCTGTTTTCACCTGTGGCAAAGCTGAGCTTGGCAAACCATGCAATGCTACAGACATCAGAAGGGCCTGAACAAGGGTGCATCTGTGGCCTTGTTCTGAGTGGGAACCAGAGGCCTGGGTTCTGGACTCAGTTCTGAGTGGGAACCAGAGACCTGGGTTCTGGACTCAGTTCTGTCACTAGCCTGCAGAAACCTCGCTGTGATTTCTGAAGTCCTGTCCTCCAATTTGACGACATTATGATTCTGGTGAAAATATGGCTCTTTGTGTAAATATAATAAACCCCATGACCTCAGAATTCAACCAGGAAGCTTATCCAGGATCAGACCAGATGTCCTTCTTCTAAAAGATATTTTACAGCTGTTCACTGGCCTCATTCTGTCTTCCTGGAGGCAGTGGCCAGGCCTCTCAGCAGACCAGATGGAAGCTTGTAGAGCTGTTCATGAGTTCTGTGTTAGGTTTTCAAAATTGTAGAATGTGGATAATAACATTACTTTCTCCATGTGGCTGTGGATGCGACATACTGGGGTCCGGACTGGTGGGGCAATCATTTTGATTTGGTGGTCCTCTCTTGCCTTCCTTTGTTGTTAAATATTTTGGATGTCATCTCTAGCCCCTGAGAGCTTCCAGTGAGACTCCTCCATGAATGCTGTTTTCCTTCCTGATCTTGCTGCCCTCTGCAATGGCTCAGCAAGCTGTCAACTCTCAAACACAGCATGTTTCATACGGATAAAACTCCCAAGGCCCATTCAGCTACATCACAGTGAGCTGAGCAAGGCCACAGGCTGAAGGAGGCCTGGGAATTTGAAATGCGGTTGCTGTCTACGTGTGCTCTGCCTTGACTCCTTCCAACCGTACCAATAAAGCTAAAGGAATTCGAAGAGGAAACTGTTGGTCACTGCCCACCCCACTGCTGCCAAGGTAATTTGGAATTCGTGGAGGTTAGAGGCTTTTGAGGTTTGGATAGCTTAAGTCATCTCAGCAAATGCAGAGTGAAAACTTAAAAATCAGATCTGCTTTCAAGCATTTTTCCCCACTCTGTGTTCTTAAGGAGGGAAATGGAGAGTGGCTCACAGGCCTTGATTTTCTTGAGTAATTGTTTAAGATACAGAGGAGCTTTGGAAACTGAGCTGATGCTGACTTGCTACCTGTATTGGCCACACCCGGAAGGCTCCAGATGCACTTCCATTTTTCCCTCCCCATCTTGCCAAGGCTACCACTTGCCTGATGCCACCTGAGGACTTACAGCTGCTCTGCTGAGTTAGGCTCTACGGCCAAGGAACTGTATTCAAGCTCAGTAGTAGGATAGCCATCATGGAATCATGGCTGTCTGATGCCATGATAGGGTTGGGGTGGGCTGTATGTGCTATTGCTCTTCACCTCTGTGCAGATAGGGCCAGGAGTGAGACAATAGGGAGTGGTGGTGACTGTGGCAGAGGTGGATATGCCCCTCATCGAATATTATAATATTTTCAAGTATGTAATATACTGTTTCTTGGAGAAGTGTGTTTAACAATGCCTATAGGAAGATTAGAAAGGTGTGAAGGTTGCAGGGGGGGAAGTAACATTGAAATTGAACTCTAACATACTGAAGAACCAACTTTTAGGTACTCTAACTAACAAAGAAAAGAAGAGAGCAAAACAAATTCACATCTGCCACTGTATTTAGTTTGGGGCATGGAGCTCTTGAGACTTCCAGGAGAGTCTTAAGAGAAAAAGACACATTTATAGAGCACCTATCATGTGCCAGATAATGCTTGTATTGGCATTTTAATAAATATTATCTCATTCACTTCTCACAGCAATCCTGTGAAGTCGGTCTCTTACTCCTATTTTTTAAATCAAGAAACTTGCGCACAATGAGGACTTTTTTTTTTTTTTTTTTTTTTTCCCCCCCGAGACATTCTCACTCTGTCTCCCAGGCTGGAGTGCAATGGTGTGTGATCTCAGCTAACTGCGACTTCCACCTCCTAGGTTCAAGTGATTCTTCTGCTTCAGCCTCCTGAGTAGCTGGTGGTGGGACTATGGGTGCCCACCACCATGCCCAGCTGATTTTTATATTTTTAGTAGAGACGGGGTTTCATCATACTGGTCAGGCCGGTCTCAAACTCCAAGGACAAATATTTGGGTTACTCAGCCAAACATGTTGGTGCTAGGATTTGACACCCTGACTTCTGTCTTTTAGTTCAGGAGCTCCTGCCCTGTGCTGGAAAATCCATTGCTGGATTTTCTGGCCTCTGTGCCCTCTCTGGTCTCCTCCACTGCCAATGGTAACAAGTGCCCTCCCTGAGCCTGTCTGTTTGCTCTGGGCTGACCCTGACCTCCTGAGCTCCAGGCTGTCATTGGTGGCCAGGATCACTGCCAATTCTGACTGCAGGTCTCCTCACTGTTTCCATGACAGAGCTTACCTGAGCCATCACGGTGCCTTGGTCCTGTGGCTGGCCTGCATCCAACCTGGCTCCTCCGAAAGGTCTGATTGCCTAGTGGGTCTCCTAGAGGTTTGGATTTATCTCTGGCTAGTGCTGGCCAGGGCCCCTGCCCCAAACAGGATGACAATGGATGGGAGGGTTACTTTCCTGCTGTCACTCCAGGAGCACCTCAAACATGGCGACTTAGAAACCCTGATCTGGCCAGACA